AAGCCTGGCTATGGGCAAGGGAAAAGGGAAGCACAGAGGCAATCCGGCGCACACCTTTCCCTCAAGTCTTACACATTGGTTGAGGACACATGTACATAAATAATGATCCATTAGGCAGAAAATGGTAAGTAAGGGTCGTGCAGGAAGTGAGTTGTGGGTATAGTACGTTAGGGTAGAGTCCGAAGTGCTGAAATAAATGCTTATAACTCACGGCTGTTTTTAGCCTCTATGAATCTGTTTATAAAAATCTATAAAATAGAGACAATAATATCTGCCTTGTGGAATCCTAGCTACCTTTAATAAATAATATCTGCCTTGTGGAATTCTATCTACCTTTAATAATACCTGGCTTGTGAAATCCTATTTATCATTTGGATAGCTACAGGATTGTACGCATCATTTGTGTAAAAGACAGAAATGGTTTAATGCTATATAGAGGTAAACTATCCACAGGTATTATATTATCAACTAGACTCCATCCCTGAGCCCATCAGCCCCGGAGCCAGGGAGCCAGGGCCCCACTTACTCGGTTTCTTGTAGACGCTAAGCCTCCCTGACCTCCATCCCTTTACAGAAGCCTGACAGCTTCCTACAGCCCTTGACAATCAATCCAATCAATCTACCGATAGCTAGTGCCTACATTTTAGATGGGTACCGTCTTGTGCCAGGGGATGCTGGGAAAGAGAGCTTTGGAGTCTAGAATCCATCCCCAGCAGAGACTGTCAGAGAACCGGGGAGACATAAGGTATCATTAACAATACAGCCAGGTGGAGGCAGAGATTCAGACCAGGATTCAGATACCTGGAGCGGTCATCTCAAAAACAAGTTTAAAAATTAACAATGTAAAGAATAGAGTCAGGAGTAGTGATTCACACCTGTAATCTCAGGATTCTGGAGACAGAGAAAGTCTGGAGGGTCGAGAGAGAGTGCAAGACCATCCTTGCTTACTTAGAGAATTTGTGGCCAGCCTGGCTAAGCCAAATCAACCAACCAACCAATCGAACAAACAAACACTGTAAATACTGGGCGATTCCCAGATATGTGCCAGGGAAGAGGACTCTAGTGTCACCAGAATTCTTTTCCAGTAGGATCTCCATGGCTTCAAAGTGGGGATGGCTCCTGAGGGCCTGAGAGGAGGGGAAGGACATCCTGGATTGAGAATGGGGGCCAGTGGGAGTGAGCCCCAGGAAGACCAGTGTGGGAGGCTGATTCGGACCTCTCTGCCTGGAGTGACTATTTCCTGTGAGGAAGAGGAAGGATCTTCCTTGCAGCCAGACCGGGCCAGAGGGACTGAAAGTGCAGATCCAGGAGTTTGGACTCTGACTTAGCAGCCATTATCTATCAGCTATGATCAGAACCAGTGAACGTCCTTCACTAGATGGGGCTTTGCAAGACGATGGAGAGGTCGTGAGCAGCTCGGTAGGTTTGGGGGGTTAGGGATCAGCCACAAGGTATGCTCCCCTTGACAAAAGGTTCAAATTGGGATGGGCACTGTCTAAGGTAGGGAGAACAGAACGCATCATGGTCACATGTTTCTGTCCTGGTGTTTGGAAGAGCTGGGTGAGTGGAATGTCTTGAATGCTTAGACCTGGATTTGAAGCGTGGGTCTTAGGATGTGCTAGGTCTGATAATGAGGACTGGCCAGACCCATATGAAAATCTTAGAAACTCCAGTTCTTCCTTCCCAGGGGAGTTGGTTACTGCCCTTGAGCCACTGAGCTGTAGAAGGGGTGGGTGGGAAGTTGACCCAGGGCACAGGGCACGGGAGGCACAGGTTTCGTGGAAGAGTTCAGCATCAGGTGACATTCCAGCAGGCTCTACCCAAAGCCTGCTTCCGGGTACATTTCCTGAGAGATCAGCCATGGGCAGCCAGTAGTAGGGAGTGAGTGTTTAACTCCTCTGGATCCTGGTTTCCTGCTTCTTAATGTGGCTGTCTTGGTATGAATCCTCTCAAAATAACCCAGCAGTCTCAGCTCACAGCAGGAAGTCCTGTGAGCTCCAAGGGAAAGGAGCCCTGTACTGCACCTGGGGCAGTAATGGTTACCACAGGCCCAGAAGCCAAGAGAGGTGAGATACAAACTGTTTACCAGAGCCCTGGGGCTCCCAGCCACCCCCACTTCTCCACATAAGTTCCAGGCTCCACCCTCAGCTCAGTGTGGGATAGCCTGCCTGCCTTTCTCCCCCCACACCCGACCCCTTCCTTTTTCTTTCCTTCTTTCTTGGGGGTGAGTGGATAAGACCCAGCCTCATGAAGCCCAGGCTAGCCTCCAATTCAATATATAGTCAAGAAAGAACTCATGATCTCCTGTCTCTCTGTCTCTCTGGTGCTTGGATTACAGGATGTGCCATCATGCCTGACTCTGAGGGATTCTTTTTAATCCATCAGGGCCCTTGATCTCTAAGTCAGGGCTGGCCTCCCTGGCTCCCTTGAGAGATTCCACACGTTGTGGTCCCGGATCCCTGCTCCTGGGATACTAAAACTTCCTTCTTGGGAATGGGTGTGACCTGTAGCACCTGGTTTTTTTTTTTTTTTTTTTTTTTTTTTTTTTGAGACAGTTTCGAGACAGGGTTTCTCTTGTAGCCCTGGCTGTCCTGGAACAAGCTCTATAGACCAGGCTGGCTTTGAACTCAGAGATCCACCTGCCTCTGCCTCCCAAATGCTGGGATTAAAGGTGTGCACCACCAGTGCTCTTAATTGCTGAACCACCTCGAGTCCCTTTCTGATGCAGGCCTGTTGGTTCACACCTTTAATCTCAGCACTTGGGAGGCAGAGGCAGGTGGGTCTCTGTGAGTTTGAGGCCAGCCTGGTCTACAAAGTGAGTTTCAGGACAGCCAGAGCCACACAGATTAAACCCTGCCTCAAAACAACAAAAAGTCCTTTCTAGGGAAAATGAGGAAGGCCTCTCAGAGGTAGGAACATTGATTCAGGGAGGAGTTTTAAAAACTTTTGCTCAGACAGAGATGGGGTAGAAGAGACAAAGCTTGAGGACAGAAAGACCAGCACAGACCGGAGCTCAGCAGGACACAGACTGGCAGGCCTTCTCTAGTGATGGTGAATGGAACTGAAAGGACGCTGGAGAAGCAACTTCTTCCAGTGTGTGGTTTCGGAACAATTAGCTGCCTTTTTGTGGAGAGATCTGTGGCTCCGAGGGCTGGACCACCATCACACAGGGAAGAAGAGTCTGGCCTCAGACCCATCTGTAAGTGCCAGGCGCGTGGGGGGAACATTCTAGACGTGTTCTATTTGGAGGGTGGGGTTATCACTCTCGTTTTACCAAAGAGGGAAGTGAGGGGTCCGAGAGTCACACAGCTCTCGGGTGGCACCTCTAAGACTCTGAGATTGAGGGGCCCTCTGGCAGCTCAAAGATAGGCCGAGCGAATAAAGATGGCGTCAGTCTGCCTTTCAGCAGGAACTCGAGTATCTAGAGAAAAGAAGGTGAGGACAGCGCTGTGCTCCCTGCCAACCTCACAACTCCAGGCGTGCTTTCGGGAGCAGGTGGGCAGTTCCTGGAACGGGCCATGTCTGATGGCTGCTATATTTTGTGAAAATAGAGTAGATATTGGGTTAAATCAGGGTGAGAGACATCGGGGGCACAGCCGTGTTCCTGTGGCTGGGGTCAGAGAGCTGCTGCGGGTCTCAGGAACTTTTAAGGACTTCCGGTCTCAAGCGGCAGCCCCACAGCAGGACTGACTCACTGGCAGGGTTCCCAACTTTCTCTTAAGACCTAAGCAGAGCGCAATAGGAATCTTGGAGAACCAGAGGTGGGAATCATCTGCCCAGAGGGACTTGCTTTGTCCTTTGAAGGCAGATCTTGTTCCAGAAGGGTGCCTGGGCGAACAGGGAAGAGCACAGAGTTCTCAGACACTGGCCTCATTTCTACTGCCTGACAGCTGCCTCACAAGGCTGGCTGAGGGCAGGGCTCGGCCACTGCGGGGCCAGTCCCTTTTCAAATGACTCCCAGTGGGTGACCAGACACTAGATACCCCAACGTGGTGGTGGTGGTGGGGGCTAAGAGTGGTGGCTTTGTTTTGAGGCAGAATCTTGTGTAGTCCAGGGTGGTCTTGGGATGACCTTGAGTTCCTGATCCTCCTGCCTCTACCTCCCAAGTGTTAGAATTACAGGTGTGAGCTGCTATGCTTGGCAAAAATAGTCACAGTTTTGGAGGCTGTAGGGAAAAGAGAAGAGAGAAGGAAAATTGAGATGGTTTGCAGGGTCCTGCCACCAGTCTTGGACCACTTCCTTTCCTTGGCTCCCTGCCCCCCACCGGCTCCCTTAACTGGCGTCTCACATATGCCAATGAGCCATCTCAGCAGAGTTAGGCATCAGTCGCCTAGTTAATGAAAAGCAGGCAGAGGCCAGGGCGACTCATTCGCTCACTTAGGTCTAACCAGTATGTTTGCCTTTCTAGCTAGCGTGGGCATCAACTGCCTGCGCCGTTCAAGCCCTGACACCTGAGCACTCACTGGATCCCTAACCTTGGGGTGGGAGGTGAACTTGGGAGTGGGAGAAGGTACCCCTGCAGCAGCCACCCACTGAAATAGTTCAGGCTTTGCCACATTCCCCAGACCGGCCAGAAGCGGCAAGGCACAGAAAAGGATTCAGGGTTCTAGAAATCCTGGGCCCCACAGTCCCCACCGCCCCCTCCTAAGCAAACATTCCTCCCAGAGCCAGAAAAGAGCAGAGCTGTGTGCGAGGGGAGGAACCGGCCTGAGGTTTATCGCTCCGGCAACTCCGGGTGATTCATTGAGTTTAGACTCCAGGTTGTCATAGATGGAGGCACGCAAACACACAGCCAGCCGGGGAGGTACGGGTCACCAGCTCCCTGCCCTCCTCTACCTGGCTATCCCCTCGCCTGTAACTAGCTGCCTCCCCCTCCCCCTCGAGGGCGCTCAGGGTTGAGCAAACACGCCCTGCCGCCTGCCCTGCCACCGGCTGGCTCCGACCGCGCTCCTGGCGATCCCCCAGGCAACTCGGCATCACGAGAACACGCACCCTGAGACCCGACGCCCTGCCCTCTCCAGCGTCTCCAGGGCCCCTGTCAGACCCAACAACCTCTTGCTCTTGCGATTTGTCCCTTCCGGGGATACAGCGCAATCCAATCAGACCCACTCAGTGCTCCAAGGACAGCGCAGGCCACTCCCGAGGGATCTCAAGCCCCAGGGAAAGTGGCCGGAAAAAAAAATCTCTTGTTTACTGGGCCAGAGAGGCCTCTGCTGGGATTCGTTTCCCTATTTCTGCGGTTTCTTTTCAGCAGATTCCTGGGGCTGGAGAAGAAAGGGTGGTAACTGGTGGATCCACCCCGGCAGGGAGTGGGGGTGGGGTTCAGGGGAATCCGAATTCGTGGAAAGGTCCCCTGACTTCAGGAGTGGCCGGACTCGGAGTCAGGAACAATGTGGTCAGGAGCGCAGGGACCACAGGGATAGCGTTGAACACTGTACCTCGGGAACAAAACTGAGAAGGCTAATTAGGACAGGTCACCACAGGGAACCGGGACGCGGGGAGGGGAACCCGCGATGAGAGAAACTCGGGCGCGGGGTAGTCAGGCCTACGAAGATGCTGGCCAATAACCCGCTGGGGGTTCTGGGCTCAGTCCACAGAGTTAGGGGCATACGCCGTGGCATTCCTCATGATCTTGGAGACTGGGCTCTCCCGGGAGGATCACGCATGAAAGAGGGGGGCGCTCAGTGTGTGCTGTGTCCACGTGTGCAAGCTCGAGAGGGGAGGGGGCGCAGAAGGCGTGACAAAGACGGACTTTACGTCTGAGTGTGCGCCTCGCTCCAGCGGGGAGCAGCGAACTGTGCCAGGCATGTGCCTCATGGGAAAGCCAGGACGAAAGTGACAAAGGCTGGGTGTCTGTCACGGGGAAACTCGCCAAGGTGGCCACTGAGCGTCTGTGGGTGCGTGCGATCGCTGGGAGATGCAACCAAGAAGTGTGCTGGATTGCACCCCCGAACCGCTTTCGGGAGAGAAAGGCGAGTCCAGAAAGTGAGTACGCGCAAGTGAGCGCGCGCCCGCGTACGGGGGCGTGGCAGTAAACAGCAACAACCCACACTCCAGCTTGGCCAGAAACTCGGATCTCTCTTCCCAGCTCGAAAGAGCTCAGCGGCCGAGCCTGGAGGTGAGTCCGAGGGTGCAGGGCCAGGCGCGCTTTGTTACTGGGGATGAGGATCGCTAGTACCTGGAGCGCAGCTGGCGCCGGAGGAGCGCCAGGAATGGAGGTGATGTCACGGTGATGCAGCCCGGCCCACCCTGGCCGAGAGAAGGGAGCGCTGCGCCGGGGGAGAAGGGCGGGAGAGCGAGCCATCGAGCGCACCCAGCTCAGTCCGGGGTCCCGGGGAGGAAGGCCCTGCACCTCTGCCCAGGCCTGGTCACTGGAGCAGGCTCTGGCCCTGCGCCCTTCTTTGAGTCCCTCCTACGCCTGCCGGCGCTCTGCCTGGGGCCAAAGTTGGCTTTCAGCGCGACGCCGAAGCCGGCTGGCTGCGAGTCCCAGGTAAGGACTGCTGCCTCGGCGCTCCGCCCTCGCCATCGGCAAGCCGGAAGATCTGGGTCCAGCTGGCTGGGAGAGGGCGAGGGCCAGGCTCGGGGTGGGAACCCGAGAGGCGGGCGACGATTGCACCCACTCCGCAAGTTCGCAGAAAGTTTCCAAACCCGAGCCAGCTGGGGACTTAATGAGTCAGGAAAGCCGGGTGCTGCGTCCGGAGGTGAACGGCCAAGGAAGGACTCCACGATCCGAGTGTCCGAGAGGTGTCCCTCTACCTACTCACGCTGTGGGAGGCCACGGTTGACTGTGACTGTAGGTTGGCGTCCTTTTCCTCATTTTGCTGCGGTGCGTGGGGAAGGCAGGTTTCTGTGACCCGAGGGAATGGGAGGAACCGAGCCTGGCTCCTTGCTCTTTCGGTTCAGACTTCCAGGGGCGCGCGAGCGGAGACCTAGTAGTCTGGTTGGAATCGGGAGGCGAGGGCTCCTGGTCTCTCCGCGGGAAGTTTGGAATTTCAGAGGCCTGCGGCGCCTCTCCTTGTGGAGGCCTAAGCTCTGGATCCCACCCCTTACTCGCCCCTGGTTTTTCCAGAGCGCTTTCCGCTTCCACCTCACGCCCACACTTTTACACGTACAAAGTTCTAAATCACTTAGGACTTCATGATCTTGATCCTGAAGTACAGACATGAGGATTTATAGAAGCGTGGCTTTGTACTCCCGGAGAGCCCCCCCTCCCCCAAACATAGTCTGTTATGTGGCTGGGAGGGGAGTGGTGTTAGGGATGGGGGTAGGGCACATTCCAAAGTGGAAAGCAGACCCTTGACTGCTTCTAGGCTTCTAGGACTCCGCATGTTAGGGTATTTTGGTCCAGTTACCCACTCTTGGTTATGAAAGGGGGACGGGGGACAGTAAACGGGCTGGGCTGTGAGTCCTTCCATACATTAGCATCTCCCTAGGTCCATTCTTACCGGATTCGTTGGCCAGCCTTCTGGTCAGAGGGCTGAGACAACAGGACTTGTCCCGAGACTGAGAAAACAGGAGGAAGTGGTGGATGAGAGGATTGAGGGAAGGCTGGCTAAGTGTCCATCCATCTTTCCAGGTCAGCTACTGAGGGGACGCAGCCAGGGAGGAAGAAGAATGCTTTGTGGTGTCCCTGGCTGAGCCCTTCCTTGCTCCATCCAATGGGGCTGTAGGTGGTCATGGCCTTTGGCTCGTGTCTTACTCTGTAGCCTTGTTCCTCCCAAGCAGCCTTCTTTCCCACCGTGGGGTGTGTGTGGGTGAGTGTGAGTGTGGATGTTGATGGGGGCGATCAAGGGGATGTTCTTCTGGAAAGGTGAGAAGGTGAAGGTCTACTGCCTCACCTGTAACTGCTTAAAACCAGTCAGGGCTGGCAGTCTCAGCTCACCAGCCCTGCCAAGGCTTCTCTGCTTCACCTGAAGACAGAACGGAGAAAGAGGATTTGGGAACTCAGTGCACTGCCTCCCACCAGAGTTGGGGGCTGGGTAGGAAGCTGGCCCTGGAGAAAGGCTGATTTCCGAGGTAATTAAAAATATTGGTATGGGGGCCGGGCAGTAGTGGCGCACGCCTTTAATCCCAGCACTAGGGAGGCAGAGCCAGGCGGATCTCTGTGAGTTCGAGGCCAGCCTGGGCTACCAAGTGAGTTCCAGGAGAGGCACAAAGCTACACAGAGAAACCCTGTCTCGAAAAACCAAAAAAAAAAAAAAAAAGTGTTGGTATGGAGCCTGGTGGTGGTGGTGGTTGTGCATTCTTTTAATCCCAGTACTCAGGAGACAGAGGCAAGCGGATCTCTGTGAGTCTGAGGCCAGCCTGGGCTACAGAGTAAGTTCTAGGACAGGCTCCAAAGCTACACAGAGAAACCCTGTCTCAGAAAAAACCAAAAAAAAAAAAAAAAAAATTGTGGCCAAGGTAGCACACGACTTTGATTCCAGCACTCGGGAGGCAGAGGCAGGTGGGTTGCTGTGAGTTTGAGGCCATCCTGGCCTACAAAGCAAGTTCCAGGATAGCCCCAGCTAAACAGAGAAACCCTATCTTGAAAAAAAAAATTGTATGACCGATTCCAGGGAGATGAAGTTAAAAGCCTTTTTATCCAGAAAATAATCTGAAGTGGAGCCTTGACTGTGGGCTGTTAAGGCTTCTAGGGCAGGAGGCCCTGTCCCATTCCTGGCAAAGATGGGTACTGTGTCCTTTTTTTTTTTTTTTTTTTTTTTTTTTTTTTTTTTTTTCTCGAGACAGGGTTTCTCTGTGTAGCTTTGCGCCTTTCCTGGAACTCGCTTTGGAGACCAGGCTGGCCTCGAACTCACAGAGATCCGCCTGGCTCTGCCTCCCGAGTGCTGGGATTAAAGGCGTGCGCCACCACCGCCCGGCCGTGCGCCACCACCGCCCGGCAGGGTACTGTGTCCTTTAACAGATGGGTTTCACACGGTTACTGTGTCAAGGAGTAGAAGAAACTACAGAGAATAACACCAAGTACCTTGCCAGCCCCTGAAGACTTAGAGCGGTGGTTCTCAACCCAGGGGAGTCAAACGACCCTTTCCTAGAGGTCACCTAAGATCAGAAAACAGATATTTACATTATGATTCGTAACAGTAGCAAAATTATAGTTATGAAGTAGCAATGAAAATAATTTTATGTTTGGGGGTCACAACATGAGGAACTGTACTGAGGGTTGCTGCGTTGAGAACCACTGACTTAGGGGAGATGGGTCACATGATTCAAAAGGTCAGGCCTCAAGAGGTTGAGTCTAAATGCAGGGTGTGTGACCGCCCACAGCAGGTGGTGGATACACAGAGCGCTATTTCAGAGCCCCCAGGCAGAGCTGGCCTCTCCTGTCTACCTTTTAGCCACCATCTTAAAAAGCAGTAGGTGGCTACAGAACCTGCTCAGTGCATAAGAGCACTGGCTGCTCTTGCAGAGGACCTGGGTTCAGTTCCCAGCTCCCACGTGGCGGTTGAAAACCATCTATAACTTCAGTTCCAGGGGATCTGATGCCCTTTATTGACCTCTGTGGGCACCAAACACATATGTGGTGCATATATAGACATGCAGGCAAAACATTCATACTCATAAAAAATCAAAATAAATCTGGCTGAATATGTACTCCTGGACTGAAAGACTGGTCTGTGTCCTAATGTGCTTTCTTCTCTTCAACTATCTTTTTGTTGTTTTGGGGTGTTTTTTAGAGACAGAGTCTCACTATGTAGCTCTGTTCATCCTAGAACACACTACATAGACCAGGCTGGCCTTGAACTCAGATCTGCTGCCTCTGCCTCCCAAGTGCTGGGATTAAAGATGTGCGCACCCCGCCAGGCTTTCTTCAACTCTCCTGCTTGCCCAAGGCCTCTGTCCTACACAGGCGAGAGTCCAGCCCAGCTGTCCCAGTTTTCCCGCCTGACTATGTTTCCATCTCCCCATCTGCCCTTCCTTCTGTTTTCTGTGGGAGCAGAAAAATGGGGCATTTTAGGGTGGAAACGGTACATTTCAGGGCAGCCCAATTTTCCACACTGGAGATTTAGTGACAGAGGTGAGATTTGAAGGATCAGGTCAAGGCGGAAGCTGGTCATTTCGTAGCAAAGGCAAGAGGAAATAGTACAGGATTGTAACCATTCCCTAATCCTGGCCCCAGTGTCTGTGGGGGTGCCGGGGACTAGCCAAGCAGAGGTGTGTGTTTCTTCTCCGCCTTCTTCCTCTTCTTCCCTGGGGAAGGAAGCCAGGACCTTGTACTGGAACATGCTCACACTGACCTACATCCTCAGTCTTGGGATGACCTGGCTGTTATCAGATGTAAACCTGTAATGTAACCTGTGGCACCCTCTCCTCCTACATCTCCTTTGTCCTTAGATTTGTAGCGGGGGGGAGGGGGGTATGGTGGGAGAGGGTGGCAAGAATCTCTCAAATACAAATATACATACATATCTTAATTATTCTTTGACAATTTCATACATGTAAACAGTACATCTTGATCACATGGACTCCCTGTTCCCCCAAGAACCCCCAACTCCTGCCTCCCATTCCCTGCAGGCACCTCTGGTACATTCCTCTCCCCACTTCGTGTTCTTCCCCTTTTTTGTTAATAATCCACCGAGCCTGTTGGAATATTGACCGATCTGGCTGATTTGACCTTGTGTGGGTAATAATAGCTCCGGTGAGTTCATGGGTACAGTGGCCGTCTCATGTCCGTAAGACGGCATCTCACAGCGCTCCTCCCATCCTCTGACTCTGAACGTTCTTCCCACTCTACAGTATCCCTGCGTGGGTCCACCTTATTTGTTGAGACAAGATCTCTCACTTGAACCTGGAGCTCACCAATTCCGCTAGACTGGCTGGCCAAACAAACCCCAGCAATCCTCCTGTCTCCACCTCCCGAGCTGGGATTACAGGTGCATGCCTCTGTGCTGTGCTCTCTGTGTGGGAGGTGGGGATACAAACTTAGGTCTTCTTGCTTACACAGCAAGCACTGGCTGACTGATCCATCTCCCCCTTTTTTGGAGGTGTTGGGGGAATCAGAGTGAAGGCCTCATGCATGCTCAACAAGTACTGCACCACTGAGCCACATCCCTAATGCCCAGTGAGGTGCTTTAGACCAGGTCGTCTGCCCTTGTCTCCTTTCTTATTGCTCCCTTG